ATTCTCACTAGTGTTTTCATATCACTAGGGTGGCGAAACTCCATTGTTTCCTCGAATCTGGCTCATCGTATTGGTGTTATTATTAGATGTGCTGTAATAGCAGCTATTTGGGGTGGCAGTTTCGAAACAGGTTGTCGAATATTGGATTGTGTACTTTCAGCTCATCCGTCTTTGGAGGTAAGTTCAGGGCGATGCAGTGTTCTTCAATGAAGATATTTTCGTCTCTTTCAGTTCTTGTCGAAAACGGCGAATAATCTGGCTTCGCTTATGAGCCAGACCGTGGAGGCGATGACGGGAGAACTCGAGCATGATGATAATGATCATCATCATCATCAGCATTCATGATCATTATAGAATCGTTCAGCACTACTTTTTCAAACATCATCCGCATCCTCCTATTGTTCTTCACTGGTGACCATCGAAACATTCAGCCGCAGCATTTTTCCCTAACTTCATCATCATTACTGATGAAAAATGATCCCAAATTATCCTTGGATCGTTTGCTCCTTTGGTAGGGAAAGTGTGTGCTGTAGTGTATTATTATTATCACAGCGGACAAGTTCAGCGCTTCGGCGGTCCTCAGCGGAACAAGTCCGACTTTTTTTGGTTGAATGTGGATGAATTTCCGTCCATTTCGATAGCACAGGCGCAGTGATATTCTTCTTATTTTCTTCTTCTTATTCTTTTTACTGCGTTTATGTAGTAGTTGTTGTTGTCGTATCTGTGTAAAATGTATTCCATTCGACTCTAGATACGTAGCATCTTCCATGTCTGCTGGCATCTTTCCGATGCCGCTGATTTTGGTTGATCTTGTGGAGATCACTAATCATTCGAGAGCCCACCCACAACGCTTCATTCGGGCACAATATTAATGATGTCTTGCGTTGTTCGCAGTTCGCGTATGAAGACGCACTTGAGTCGGTTATCTCGCCTCTCGTGAGGATGGAGCCAATATGAAAGGCTAAAACTGAACTCTAGTGAACTAAGGCGCATCGATGCGACTTTAACCAAGTCTGGTTGTCATCGTTAGTTAGTCCAACTTTGATTTAAAACTCAACACTCACACACGGCATTTAGTTGTGTAAGCGGATACTGCCGAGAGGAAAAGAAGTACATTGACAAAAGTCATGAGCATGATGAGAGTAGACATTCAAAAGGCTAAAACTGATCCCTCGTGCGAGTCTATTGAGCCGTGTTGCCGTGGTTGGCGTTGAACTTTAAACTCACACACAGGGAAATATTACGGGGTACATATCATTCATCTGAATTAGGATAAATTCCATAGTGAGGGTAGCTTGACAGTGTCGAGGTGTTCACAGTTCATTCTTTCGATAAACAACATCAGTCCGCCCGTTCGCACATATCAGCATCTAGCTCCAGTGAGAGCATCAGCGATATTAAGTACACTACTGGAACAATCATCATAGGTTGTCAATGTACAATTTATTATTAACTCAGACCGTTAGGATTGTCATATCATCACTTGATGATGCAGATAACGACGAGCATAGTAGATTGTCATCACAGTTTTCATCATTAGCCTCAGTCCGCCCGTTCGCACGTATCAGCATAAACCTCCCGAGGGAACTTATATGAAGGTACACAATGAGAACAATCATCATAGGCTGGCATTAACGTTGGAATGTTGCCAATTATTATCCACAAGATCTATTGAACACCGCATGGGTCTTCATATGGCGGTATCTCTCACACGACGGTCCAAGACCGATGCTTACATGACGATGAGCATAACGTCGGGTAAGTCTGCACGCACCGTGTTTGCTACGGCTGCGGAGAAGCCTCAGAGCCCAGTGCTGGAAAATATGATTTCATAGCAAATTTTTCTATTCGCTCATTAATCTGAATGTCATTATGGAATTATCATCATAGGCGTCTTTTATTAAATCTCTCAGAGTAACTATGACATGTGTTATCAAAGTGGTCATCGAAGTGGACCGTGCAGAATGCACTAAGTGCCACTGATACCTCGAAATAATCTTTCATCATGGAGTAGTGCCCTACGCCCCCTGTATTTATACACTATTTTGAAGTAGTAAGACAGTAAGCAAGGAGACAGCTGTGGTTGTTATTGTTGTAGTAGACCGTACTGAACTCCAGTGTTCCTCCTTAGAACCTCTTGCCAGTGCGAGACTGCTTCTGCTTGGGCATCTTAGCGGCGACAGGCTTCTCCTGATGCTTAGCAGTCTTGCTAGCAGCAGCGCGAGCAGCCTTGGCCTTCTCCTTCTCCTTGAGCTCGGCAGCCCTCTTGGCATCAGCCTCCTTGCGGAGCTGAGTGCGCTCAGACTTCTTCTTCTGGAAGTCCTCCAGAGAGAGACCCATGATGGCCTTCTGGACCTTCACAGTGCGACGAGTCTTCTTGCGGGCGACCTATACCGGTGACGCATGTGTGTCACCACTTGGATGTATAAGGTAGTAGTACCTCAGTGGTCCTAACCTTCTTGTTGAGACGACGCCACTTCTCAGTCCAAGTCAACTTGACGGGCTTGATGCGCTGCTGGAAAAGGGAGGCGGCCTTCGAGTTGAAGAAGAAATGGGCCTGGAGACAGACACCATGGAAGCGTCATATTTCTTCATCCGAATTACCTTCCCGTCCTTAGCGATGAAGCGCTGGCCGTGTCCAGGGTAGACACGGAACTCCGTATAACTGCAAAGCTCGGTCTTAACAACCTACCATCACAACAACGAAATCTATACAGTTGATGCTACCACTGAACGTTTGAAAAACCGCAAAGCGATCTATACACCCCACAGCCCCGACTTACCATGGTGACTGTTCGTCCTCCTTAACTTACTATTAATAGCCAACACGGATGCGATCGATCATCGGGGCGAGCGAGATTTCGATCGGCGGATTTTTGAAACCACCAACATGACTTGTGAACAGCGCAACTTGAGATCGTTTATTTCCGTCTTCTTCCTCTTCAGATCATTTAGTTTTCAATATGCTCCTACTTATCCTCTCCACGGCGCTACTTGTGAACTTGACTTTTGTGTTCTCTGGTTGTGACGCCGAAGCGGTCGCTAAGATCCTACGTGGGCAATCCGTCAATGGGCCCCAAGCTGGTGGTAGCTCCGTGTCGGAAGGCACTTGTAGTGGCAAGAGCCTTGGCACCTACTCGTGGGACCAATCCTTCTGGCGGGCTGGGAACCGGGATCTCCTCGATTTCCTCGAGTCCGACACTGGTATGGCTTGGAACTGCGGTGATGTATATATCAACGTTGCTGACTACTCCAACTGGAAGGGCATCGTCGAACCTGACAACTTGGTGAAGTTTGCGCGAGCATTTCGTCAGTTGCCCGGAGCCGGCTCGAGGGTCCTCTGGATGACCTACGGCGATGTGGTTGAGCGTAACGGTGAGAAAATGGTCGAATTTGTGGCGACCTTCGAAGAGTGGCTACGGGACTATGTCGGTTCTTCTGTGATTCGGGAGATCATGCCTATCGGTTTGAGCTACGACGTGGAGCATGTGGACCCTAAGCTCGTCCGGGAAGCTCTCGTCGAGGCCAACAGCATGAAGAGTCGATTGACTGCCCAGTTGGGGTATCCCTCTGGCTCGGTACTCCTACAAGCTACTATTCAAGGTGCTGAGGACGAGGAAGGCACACGTTACGTCATGGAGCATGCCGACTCGGCGCTCATGATGCTTTATCGTAATTACATCATTGACCCGAACGGCAAGTAAGTCGCGAAAAGTCGACGATTGTAAAGTGTATGTCAGTTTGAAGTCGAACGTCGTCGCCGATTTTGTTATATTCGGTCATTTGTAGGTACCAGGAAGACTCTAATATTGTCAACAGAATGTACTGGATGCTCACCGACCAGTGTGCGAATTGTCTGAAGGACGACTATTTCCCACGGGCGAAAATCACCGTGATGGTCGAAGTGAGTTCAATGTGCCTCGATATGAGCATACGTTGTTTGCATATCAGGCTTCTTGCAAGATGGGTCGTGGGTGCGGTAAACTATCCTTCTGCGCGCATGATGGGCCCGGGGCACAAGGCGGTGTCGAGTACATGTGGAATATCCTTGGTGAAATGGATCGAATAATGCAGGACCCGTCCGAAGGGGTAGGTCGGAATGCTGATTTTCTCATAGACTTTGGTTTTTGCAGTATATGACTCCAGCACGTCATGCGGCTCTTTTCAACCCCGACACGCCGTTCGCTGTACACGACTTTAGATGGTCGCGATGTTTCTACGGCCAAGCTTTCTCAACGAGCATGGGCTACGATGATTGTGATGCTTATCACACTATGGCAGATATATGCCGAACTAAGTGACGATCAAGTCGATTTCTTGGGTATTTGAACATTGTTTCTCATCTAATATCGCACAGGTGAATTCTTGTAAGCCTGTTCTCCTTGCATATGTATGCATTATGTATATCATCTAGAGCTACTCGGTACATAGACTATTGTCGTCATCCATGTATCGACGTGAATGCTGATCAGGGATAGGTTTCCCGTATGGCGAAAAATTTGAGTTCAATTCTTCCCACGTGAATGGTTAAGTCCCAAATGGAAATTCTCACACGAAACAATCCAACGTAGTAACATATGCGAAAGCGAGGCGTTTACGATTATCGGACTGGGAAGATGACCAATAAAAGCATCCCTTCTAAGCAGCGTGAATGTACCACATGTCAATGGTGTTATTAATAATTATTCTTAGTAACCATCGCAGTATCATGAGTTTATAAATGTAACAGCTGTGCCTTACTATCATGAAATTTGTTCAGGAAAGACCAGTTTTCTCCGGTTAACAATAGGTATTACAATTCTTTTTTTGTAAGAGGGCCACCGGATGAATATTCTCCCAATAGTGAAGTAGCCGTCAAGGCTGCGGCTAAGAATCAATGTTTTCCCTTCCACAGGTGGTGTTGGCGCCTTAGAGTAGATGGACATTATTATTTTCCACGTATTACTCGTTATAAAGGTAACTAAACCCAATCGAAACTATGAATGAACACAATAATTGGGTACTAACAAGTTGAAATCGTTGAGATAGGTAATCCTGTGATGGTAAGTTATAATTTCATTTGTAACTATGCACACGACAATGGACAGATTATCTTCAATATTATTCTCCTAGACAGAAAACAGTCAATGTGCCGAGTAAACCTCCAATGAAAATGCCGTTGATCAGCGAGAAAGCCATAGCATACCCCGCGACCTCCTGTTCGGCTTTGTCAGCAGGGACGCGTTGCGGCCCATACATCATGGATAAGGTCGCAGTAAGACCATTGGTGATAGCAAGGAACACCATTTCTACGTGCTTGAACCAATCCCAGTGGAATGGCTTGGTCGTGGGGTAGAGGGCAGTGCAAATGAACAAGGGTATGAACAAAGCACGACAGAGAGCGAAGATAATGAGAGGCTTTTGAGGAATCATCAAACCGACATTGGGAGCGAACCTGCCAACAGTATCGGCAATTTGATAAGTGAAAGTGACCATGGGTATGAAATCATTGGTGGCGTCCTCGGTCCCGGCCTGGGCCTCCCACTTCATGGTTTGACTTGGGAAGCATATAAATGTAATAGTGAGAACCGACCAAGCACAGAAGGCCATCGGGGCGACATCTTTGAGAATCATCCATACTGGGCGTCTTGTTTGACGTTCCTTCAACGAGCTCGCCGTGTTTCTGTTCTTTTCGATAGCGAGTACATGTCTCATATGAGGATGCTTTGACGTGATACCACGGAACATTGGAATGATCGCTAGAGTGACCAGCGATGTGAGAAAGAATAAAACAAAGCAGACCCATTCATCTCTGCGTTCTATATTTCCAAATATAACATTCAATAGTAGAAGAATCGGCCAACCAACAACACCACCAATGCCCTCGCCGACCATGACCCAATTCATGCAAGACTTAGGACAGAGAGCAGCCAACCCAAAGGCCGTTGACTCCATCACTGCATGCCCAAAAGCGATGAAGACAATACAAACAGTTCCGAGGGCGTTTCCAAGGCCTGTGTTGGGAGAAGGATTGTCCGTACCAATTGTCATAGCAACAACAGCGAGCAGAATATTGAAGACTGCTAGCAGCCCACATCCCCAGTCGAATCGCGGAGCGAAGGTAAACCTGTTGCCGTAGAAGATAATGAAAAGCTGCGCGATGTTGACTGCCAAGCCGTAGAAGATTGATATAGTCGAACCGAAACCGTGATTGAATTTGTCATCCAAATACACCAAGTCGGTCAAGATGAAGTTCCATGGTGCCAAGGCGACGAAACCGTAGATACAGAATTGTAACAACAGCGTCCAGGTAACGGGTGGCGCTTCGCCCTCCTTGCCTGTGCTGAAGGATGAGGTCACCGGGGCCTTCTTTTCCGACGGTGCCGGGATCCCCTGCATCTCACGAATTTCGGTGATGGTCGAACGTCTTCTGGCTTCGGTCATGTCGACGGGAAGAAAGAACCTATTCGGCGCCTGATACGGTGAGTCGAGTATTGCTTCACTTGCAGATCGCAGGGAATAGCTAAACATGAAATTTCAAGTTATTTAGCTGAGTCGGTTGTGGTAGTCGGTTTTTCTCCGGAAGGTCGTGGGTTCAATTCTTGGGATTAACATTTTTAATATTCGTGTCCGCTAAGTGAGCTCATCGCTTTTGTCTCAGGATTCTTCCAACCGGTTATGTGTGACCCGCAAGTGACGTAGAGCTCGGAAGTCTCGATCATGGGCAGGCCCAACAAGATGAAGTGACGGTTAACAACAGTAAAGACAACCCAAGCTGGAAGGACTATAATAGTCTAGCTGCTTCTCGGTTGCTCCTATTTCTGCATCCTCGGTTTCGTTGCCGTGGCGCTGTGGAACTTCACATTCACCGGCCTCCTAGATCTGACGAACAAATTGGAGAGTCGTGTTAGCTCGATCGTCTACGATGGGTTGGCTGATAACGTTACTCAACTGTTTATCATATTCTGCGGTAACCAGTTCACGTTTGCTCCAAAGTTCGATACCGGTTGCATCCTCTTGGCTCTCCTCGACACCTCCAATTGTGGTAATCAACGAACGCTGAAGACGACAATTGCAGTTGACGAATTACAACATATTTTTTCAGGCTGAGAATCACAGCCGCGGTGCGATCGATGTAATTACCCTTCGCGCTGATGTCCAGCAAGGCCTTGAGCTGATTTTTAATATGTCGGACTCGCGATGCCGTGGTGGGGCCTTCGATCATACTGGGCCTGTTTCATAGGAGCAAATTGCGCCTTAAACTTAAGTAACGGCTTAAGTATACCTTAAGTAACTCCTTAAGTTGCTCCTATATTTAAGGCGCCTTAAATTAAGTATCCTTGTGAAACAGGCCCACTATTATGGATCTACCGCCCTAAGCCTGGCCACCCTCTGTCCGAAACCATGTATCAATTGGGTTATGGAGGACGAGGGCATGGCCTCTGTAGGGTTCTTCGACTGTATCCTCCTAAACGTCCATCGCAATGATGAATGAGTTTGTTGGGGTCTCCTCTCGGTTGCGTCCGTTTCGACGTTACTTATTACGCCTATGTTCCGTCTTGTCCCTCACAAGGACCCTCTATTCAAACAAGTCAAAAGAAGAAAAGAAAAAAACCGACAGTTCGTCAACCCAGACGTTGAGTACGTACAAGGAGCTCGATGCGTCGATGGCTATCTATGCGTGGTCAGTCCACGGAATCATCCAGGGACCTATAATGTTCCCGGGAGGGGAAAACTCATTTTGAATTTTCCACGTATGGCTAGTAACACATTCTTCAATCAGTTTCCCATGTAAATGCCATCATCACATTAGGAATATCATTCTCCCCATTGTTATCAAACCCTAGGGGAACGTTATTTCTCAAAGCTGCATGTCTTCCTACCTAACTATACTACGCCTTTTACTCTGCGAAACATTCGCTGCCGACACCCTGAGTAAACTCACAGTGTTCTCGTGAATAGCGTATAATTTTTCTGTTATTGATTTTATCATCATTTTTATCACTACTGCAACTTCTGTTGTTCAGTGTGTGTGCCTTACTTGTTGTTTATATCATTTATATGATATTTTGTTCATTAACAGGGTTGGCAATGCTGAATTTCGAAGAGTTGCTTTCAACAGGAAAAGGATAGTTTCAATGTCATTTTAATTAGGGTAGTGTCTTTTTTGCAGTGCGGTAAGATTTGCATATGATCAGCCACATGTGTTGGTGACAATATCGAAACTCTGAGGAAATTTTGCTAGTTTCTGTACACTTTTCTCCCGATTCGTATATAAACTCCTGTGATTAGTGAGGAAATTTTTGAGCTCAGCTGAGGAAAGCGAACATATTTTGCAGCACTGCTTTTTTGAAGCGGTGATGTCTTTTTTCCTTAGGGAATTCTCAGGGGTGCGAAAAGTAATTTCTTGAATGTCATAAATATATTGAAATAATGTAAAAAATTTTTCGAAGAAATAAAATATTTTTCCCTTCTGCGAAAAATCTGTGGAGTGATGAATTCAGCCCATGGGAAACTGATTTTTCAAGTTTCAAATTTGTTTCCCTGGAGTGACCACGAGAAAAAAAATATACATGAAAATTCTGACTCGCGCTGTACATAAACGACCGTTGATTTACACATGTATTTTTGACATTTTTGATTTACACAATTTCAGAGTGAAAATTTCCGCCGGTTGCCAAAACGAAAGGAGTAAATTACCCATCTTAAAACGGTTTGTAGCTGTTAAGTTAGTCTCATATCAGTTCATTTTCTCGAGGTGTAATGGCCACAGTCGCTACTCTGACGCCCACTGGTAAGTATACTGCTATAATAGGTGTTCTTATGTGATGCACCAAACGGTTGTGAATAGCACGGAAACCAATGACCCCATATCACGTGCTTCACGCGTTATTCGCAGCTCATATGCGTTTTTCGCCGACTTACATGTGAAATATGTTTTTCACTACAGTGTGCTGAACCAAACCGTTATGCAAAGTAGTATTTTCAACTTAGCCCTCGAAAGTCAACTTTGAGTAATATCAACATGATAACAATGTGAATCGATTGATGACACCAACGTTTTAGAAGCGTTACGTAGTCTATAGTCGTATGAAAGCATCTCGGAAATCTACATATGCATAACTGTTTGCTTCGCACTGTATTGCCTTTTCACAGGGCCCCAGATGTGGAACTACGGTGAAATGACATTGGAACGATTTCGGGAAGTTACACGTCGGTGTGGGGTAATACCATGATGAATGATATTTGTAATTGTCTCGAAAGTTTTAATTATAAATATAATACGTTATTTTATATCGTTGATTATATATTAGTTATATTGATATTATTGTTAGGATTAGATAACTCAACAAGAGTTATAAACAAGTGGTTCTTAACTAATGATCAACACAGTAATCATAAAGTATACGCTAGGCTAGCAAGGGAGACTAGTATCACAAGAATCTAAAATTACAGAAGACACTTGTGTACAATATTTCCTCACAATTGTGATATATTTATAATAAAACCTTTTATACTCAGTATATTGATAATACACAGTTTATATGATATCAAGTATATAAATCTATATCGGTTAATATATGACTAGGGAGTAACGCAAAGTACAAGACTTTGTGAAAGCTCGTTTAACAGAATTAATGAATATATAAAGGTCACACAGCGCTAAGATTCGCATATGGCTAGTAGATGTCATTTGTGTCTAAACAAGGGAGGACTCCGTTTGAAAATGAAAATGGAATGACAATCATCATAGTCGTCATAGTATTTACTAGAAACTGCGAGCTCATCATAGCAGCATCCGAGCTGCTGTTGCTGCTAGTGTTTTAGCGACTAAACTCGTACTCTTTTTTTCATTCGGAGAAAATACAATTTTGTGAGATCAGTTGATTTGAAAAATTTACCCATGATTTGATATTGTATTGCGTATTCGTCCACCACACGAAATAGTATTATCGAAAAACATGGAAACAGTGCTGCTGGAGTAGGAATATATGTTCGCTTCCCTCAGCTGAGCTCAGGAGTTTCCTATACAGTGTTGGAGTAGGAATATATGTTCGCTTCCCTCAGCTGAGCTCAGGAGTTTCCTATACAGTGTTGGAGTAGGAATATATGATCGCTTTTCTCAGCTGAGCTCAGGAGTTTCCTATACAGTGTTGGAGTAGGAATATATGTTCGCTTCCCTCAGCTGAGCTTAAGAGTTTCCTATACAGTGTTGGAGTAGGAATATATGTTCGCTTCCCTCAGCTGAGCTTAGGAGTTTCCTATACAGTGTTGGAGTAGGAATATATGTTCGCTTTTCTCAGCTGAGCTCAGGAGTTTCCTCACTAATTATAGGAGTTTATATACGAATTCGGGTAGAAATATATAGAAACCAATGAAAAAATTCCCGAATTTTCATCGGCATTTTCGTACTATCACCAACACATGTAGTTGACCATGGGCATATTTTCTCACACGGAAATGTTTATAAAACATTTTAGATTGCCACAGATTGGAGTTTCACGATCCGTTTTACGTGAAGTGGCGTAATACTCTGTGAAAAAATACACGTGGTTTGTGAAAATATATTTCTCACTAGTTTTTATTCATATCACTAGGGTGGTGAAACTCCATTGTTTTTCAGGGTGACAATGATATTCCGAAAAGTACCACTGCAAGTGTCGTAAAACCGAATCCTCCTGATGCGCATATCAGCGAAGTAAGCTCTTACTCTCGGTGAGTTTTCGCTGGGCATTTTCACAGTTACCTCGAGCGTTGGGATCCGCCATAACACAGACTTATCAAGATTGTGATAGTAGTTATCAGTATAGTAACCAGTACGCACCAAGAAGGATATTTACTAAGCTTATAGAGCCGTGCAGGTTGGCAGCAGCTAAAGTGAATCGGAAGGATCATTCGTGTGTTTCGCAGAAATGATGGTTATGATAACGCCGAAGGTGATTTTATATGTCGGGTGAATGATGTTATTGCTAATCCCGAAGGGTATGGCTACGAAATTGCCGATCGACTTGGCCATGGTAGTAAAAATGCGGCCACCAGGGATCGAACCTGTGCGGGTATTCGGTCAGGCACTTTCGGTCAAGTGCTCCGCTGCGTGACCTGTGATAACCGCAGTTTTGCTGTGAAAATAATAAAGAATAAGCCAGCGTAATGAAGAGAGAATAGGAAGTTTCATTTTTAATCATTTTCCTTGTAAGGTACTTTCAACAAGCTTTGGTTGAAGTGCGAATCCTCCAACTGCTAAATCGATATTATGACACTCGCATAGTGAAAATGACGGATTATTTTGTATACAGAAAACATCTATGCATAGTAATTTGTCAATCGATGCAGTTGGGGGAAAATATGCATATGTGTTCGTATGAAAATTCTGAGGAAAATTTTGAATTTTTTTCAATGGTTTCTGTACACTTTTTCCCGAATTCGTTTACAAACTTGTATAATTAGTGAGAAAACTCCTGAGCTCAGCTGAGAAAAAAGAACATATATTCCTACTCCAACACTGCTATGTATGGTCAAAATCGTACCTATTTTGAATCTTTATCAGAAAAAAAGATATGTCGTGACATAGGAGTTTTTTCACCCGTTTAACGTGAAGTGGCGTAATATTTCATGTAGATATGTTTTCGCGATCGATAACACAATTGTTTTCCGCCTAGTAAAATGTGAAATATGTTTTTCACTAGTGTTGTTAATATCACTAGCGTGAAACTCCGTATATAAGCGTTCTCGAGCGCGGCTCCTATCGAGATGAGTTTTTTGTAGGTGTTCGAGCAATTGAGTATGAACTTGTATGACGTTTTAAAACAGGTGAGAAAATGGGTATAATCGTTGGGTAATTATTTCCGTTGCAGAATTCCTTCCGAGGGTTACCTATTAATATGATTAAGTCGATTATGGACCAACTCCTACGAGCGTTGGTCTGTTTGCAAACACAAGGGATCATTCATTGCGATTTGAAACCGGAAAATATACTTCTTGTTACGTAAGTAGAGGAAAAATTTATTTTTTTCGTGATGAATTTTTTCACATATTCAACAGTGTGATGGGAAAATATGCAATGCTCAACTACTTGTGTTGGTGACAATATGAAAACTGCGAGGAAATTTCGGGCAATTCTCATTATTTTCAGTTCACTTCTACTCTAATTTATCTATAAACTCCTAATATTAGTGGTGCTATGCAGCGGTTGTGGAATAGTGTTTTTCATATCACTAGGGTGGTGAAACTTTATTTTCTTATATACTTTTATCACTCAGTGTTAGTAGTATACGTATATATCTGGCATTTTTTCTCTTGGTAGTTTTAGTGGAGTTTCACGTGAACCCGTTTTACGTGAAGTGGCATTAAAATTGGTGAAAAACGCGATATTCGCGGCCTGTAGTAGTCGTAAAATATATTTTCTACTAGTGTTTTACATATCACTAGGGTGACGAAACTCCAATAGTATTTTTCTGAATTTGAAATAAATATAAAAAATAAATTCTGTGTCGCACGTTTAGAAAATCATTGGAGATTGATGAAAATTTTCAAGTGCAGTAGGTCGGATAAGAAGGAGTGTGATGGTGTTTATATCTATTCTAAACATGAAACTCTTGTCGGGAGCAAACGTGTGGTCTAAGCATTGGAGTTTCACCACCCTAGTGATATGAAAAACATATTTCACGACTACTGCATATCACCGCGAATATCGCGTTTTTCACCGAGTTTTACGCCGCCACTTCACGTAAAACGGGTAGTCGTGAAACTACATTGTTTTATCAAGAAAACGACAAACTGGAGTTCATCTGCTGTGTCGGATTACATCTAGATTTTTTTCCTGGGAGTTCTCTGCAGTTTGAGAGAATATATTAGTTTTATCTTGCAAAATTTTATAAAAATATTCGTCAATATTTCATAGTTGTTATATATTACTTCATGTTAAGTTTACGAAACTTCTTTTTTTTTCTCAGGAAACGTAATACGAAAATTAAACTTATCGACTTTGGCAGTGCGGCATTCAGCGGCTATCAGGTGTATACGTATATTCAGAGTCGGTTTTACAGGTGGAAATCT